ACGTTATTGTTATTTGTATTATCTGTATTTTTCAGTTTTACAGAGCTTAAGATTGTGAATACGATGTTCATGAATGTGCTTGGTCTTACATTACGGATCGTTCGCTGTATAGTGTTAAGCAGACCTGCACTGTTGCTTGAACAAATCACATCTCCAGTATACGAAACTCTTGTAGACTTGTCACTTTAAGGTAAAGCTCTTGGTGATACACCGCTAACGTCATCTTCGGGTATTTAGCGGCGAAGGCGTAAGCCAAGGCACCGGTACAACCACCGAGATCGCACGCATTTGTGTAATGCGACAAATCGAACAGAGTTACCAGTTCACGCATAAACACGGACGACATTGAATGCATTTCCGTCATGAATCCCTTCCTTTCATTGGGATCGCGATAAAGTTCGTCGAAGTAATTGCGGCTGCCATACACTCGCGGTATTTGTGATTTGCCTTCTCTCACTGCATGAGTCAAGTTGCCAACCAATTGGTAATCAATAAGACTGGTCCCAACAAAGAGAGGACGCATTGACAACGGACTTGATGAAGTCAGATATTTCTTCGACTCGGGCGTATTGCGGAATAGGCAATCTCCATCAACATTAGCATCATGTATTTTCTCCAACAGTCCCATCCCAACACACGCGTTGAGTATGCATTCTATACGGTCGGCGTCTGCCTCTACCATTTCTAAGACTTGTTTGACACTCCTGGGTCCATCTTCCAGTATATCAAACAAGTTCAAGTTAATAGCTGCGATGCATACTTGGGTCTTCGTATAGGACATCAGCAAACCGTACAAGTGAGACGCCATGTTTGGGCGCAGTCGACTTGTCAGGGCCACCTCTGAAATGAGAGAGGTCTCGTTGATTTATAGAGTTGAGTCAGAAGCGTAAAAAAATACACGATACTGCCCACTCGCTTTCTCCAATACACTCGGTATCAACCAAGTAGGCTGTATTTGAAAGAATGTCTGACTACTAGTATTTAAGATTACCGTATTAGACGAAGTGTAATTGGGGGCCAATGTCATTGATAAACAAAATGGCAGCTTACATAAGTTTATGGCCATAGATGGCGCATGACACCATGCAGCCCGGGAGAATATTTAGCAGTTCTCTATAATTGCGGTGGATTAATTATTTTAACTGCGTGATGTCAACATATTCAAAGTGTGCGATAATATATTTACCCATAAATCAAAGAGGGAATGTGGGTAGTATTTGGTTGAGTATTTTTTTTAATTAAAAAATCAGTATGGCCAAGTTACAATTTTGGCTGCAAACATAGCACTCTCAAGGAAATAATACAAAACGTGCCTGGATGCATATGTATTAGTTTCTCATCATATACATAAAGTCATATATTATTGCTCACACAATTTCTAAATTTCGCGTATAATAGCAGTTTGCTCGAAGTCTGGTCAGAATTGAGATCGCATTCACGATTCTATTTGTGTGCAAAAGTCTTTCGAACAAAAACACATGGAATTCATTTAGTATATTACACTTGTTATGACTGTCTGGGCATAATTCCACAATAACAACAAATATTTCAGGGGAAATATACACACTCGTTTAATTATAGCAAACACGCTATAATTGCCTACTTGACATTCATTGTGCCATTCTCACTGGATTTATTTGATTTTATTTATATAAAAACAATCAAACACACAAATCCGTCACGCTATTTTTTTAAAAAATATGTTACATACCATTCCCCCAATGTAACACTATACTTTGTATTAGTACACAAAACTGTTAAAAGACATATACCATTTCTCGAAGTGACAAAAAACTAAACCAAGAGCTTGTCAGTATATACTAGTAGCAACCATTCCAAAACAACAAGTGGCATCAATGACTACTACTGACGAAGTGAAAACATCGCGGGCATGAATGTTCAAGGCTGTGCATGCAGTCGACCATTAATTATTAAAGGGCGATAGTCGTCGCGCCGCGCATTCGCGAGATATGGGTCTGGGACAGTTGTGTGTGAGAAAAATACTGAGACAGTGGTGTGTGAGAAACATACTGAGACAGTGATGTCTGAGAAAGATACCGAGACAGTGGTGTCTGAGAAAGATACTGAGACAGTGATGTGTGAGAAAGATACTGAGACAGTAATGTGTGAGAAAGATACTGAGACAGTGGTTGTTGAGAAAGATACCGAGACAGTGGTGTGTGAGAAACATACTGAGAGAGTGGTGTGTGAGAAACATACTGAGACAGTGGTGTGTGAGAAACATACTGAGACAGTGATGTGTGAGAAAGATACTGAGACAGTGGTGTGTGAGAAAGATACTGAGACAGTGGTGTGTGAGAACAAACTGAGACAGTGGTGTGTGAGAAACAAACTGAGACAGTGATGTGTGAGAATGATACCGAGACAGCGGTGTGTGAGAAATATACTGAGACAGTGATGTGTGAGAAACATACTGAGTCAGGTATGTGTGAGAAACATACTGAAATAGTGGTGTGTGAGAAATATACTGAGACAGTGGTGTGTGAGAAACAAACTGAGACAGTGGTGTGTGAGGAACATACTGAGACAGTGGTGTGTGAGAAATATACTGAGACAGTGGTGTGTGAGAAACATACTGAGACAGTGATGTGTGTGAATGATACCGAGACAGTGGTGTGTGAGAAATATACTGAGACAGTGGTGTGTGAGAAACATACTGAGACAGTGATGTGTGTGAATGATACCGAGACAGTGGTGTGTGAGAAATATACCGAGACAGTGGTGTGTGAGAAATATACCGAGACAGTGGTGTGTGAGAAATATACCGAGACAGTGGTGTGTGAGAAATATACCGATACAGTGGTGTGTGAGAAATATACCGAGACAGTGGTGTGTGAGAAATATACTTAGACAGTGGTGTGTGAGAAATATACCGAGACAGTGGTGTGTGAGAAATATACTGAGACAGTGGTGTGTGAGAAACACACTGAGACAGTGATGTGTGTGAATGATACCGAGACAGTGGTGTGTGAGAAATATACCGAGACAGTGGTGTGTGAGAAATATACCGAGACAGTGGTGTGTGAGAAATATACCGAGACAGTGGTGTGTGAGAAATATACTGAGACAGTGATGTGTGTGAATGATACCGAGACAGTGGTGTGTGAGAAATATACTGAGACAGTGGTGTGTGAGAAATATACCGAGACAGTGGTGTGTGAGAAATATACCGAGACAGTGGTGTGTGAGAAATATACCGAGACAGTGGTGTGTGAGAAATATACTTAGACAGTGATGTGTGTGAATGATACCGAGACAGTGGTGTGTGTGAAATATACTGAGACAGTGGTGTGTGAGAAATATACCGAGACAGTGGTGTGTGAGAAATATACCGAGACAGTGGTGTGTGAGAAATATACTTAGACAGTGATGTGTGTGAATGATACCGAGACAGTGGTGTGTGAGAAATATACTGAGACAGTGGTGTGTGAGAAACATACTGAGACAGTGATGTGTGTGAATGATACCGAGACAGTGGTGTGTGAGAAATATACCGAGACAGTGATGTGTGAGAAATATACCGAGACAGTGGTGTGTGAGAAATATACCGAGACAGTGGTGTGTGAGAAATATACCGAGACAGTGGTGTGTGAGAAATATACCGAGACAGTGGTGTGTGAGAAATATACTGAGACAGTGGTGTGTGAGAAATATACTGAGACAGTGGTGTGTGAGAAATATACTGAGACAGTGGTGTGTGAGAAATATACTGAGACAGTGGTGTGTGAGAAATATACCGAGACAGTGGTGTGTGAGAAATATACTGAGACAGTGGTGTGTGAGAAATATACTGAGACAGTGGTGTGTGAGAAATATACCGAGACAGTGGTGTGTGAGAAATATACCGAGACAGTGATGTGTGAGAAAGATACTGAGACAGTAATGTGTGAGAAAGATACTGAGACAGTGGTGTGTGAGAAATATACTGAGACAGTGGTGTGTGAGAAATATACTGAGACAGTGGTGTGTGAGAAATATACCGAGACAGTGGTGTGTGAGAAATATACTTAGACAGTGGTGTGTGAGAAATATACCGATACAGTGGTGTGTGAGAAATATACTGAGACAGTAATGTGTGAGAAAGATACTGAGACAGTGGTGTGTGAGAAATATACTGAGACAGTGGTGTGTGAGAAACATACTGAGACAGTGGTGTGTGAGAAATATACCGAGACAGTGGTGTGTGAGAAATATACCGAGACAGTGGTGTGTGAGAAATATACTTAGACAGTGGTGTGTGAGAAATATACCGAGATAGTGGTGTGTGAGAAATATACTGAGACAGTGGTGTGTGAGAAATATACTTAGACAGTGGTGTGCGAGAAACATACTTAGACTGTGTGATTTGTGAGAACGGTACATCCTAAGCTGCATTTGAGTGCCACTGCTAAATGTATTTAAAGTTTTAATTCTCATTTCAAAGTAGGCAGGCTCGTGATGGGCCATATACAGTGCCATAATAGTATACATACATATAAAGTGGATGGAACATGAAACTAACCAATGTTAAGTTTTTGTTGGAACTATGCAGCATATTTCGAGTTTAAAATCGTATACAGGTCAACAACCTAAACTGTCTTAAAATTTACACATATCACGAATATGTCTGCCTATTTACTATATGAATTTGGCTGTTGCAAAACGAAAAGAAGCATATGGAATAGATAAAAACAAATATTTGTATTTTTGAAATTGTTTTTAATATATTTTTACTAATAAAAATGCGATCAGCACGGTATCTGACCGACCACTCTACAGTGATACATATTCTGTTGTCAATATTAAGATTAATAAAAGACACAAATTTCACATTTTTTGAAAAGCACAGCGCAAGTACAATGCTATGTTTTTCTGCGATTGTGTGTTGTTATCTGTTTCCAGGGAAACTAAAGGTGGGTACAATCCAAGTTTGGAGCTTGATTTTGATTCATGTTTGTTGACCATTTCCGTACATCAATGCCTTCACATCGTTGTCTGATAATTTTCAAAAATACAGTTTCGTTTTATTGCTACTTGCCTCAACTTTGCCTCTTTATGGAAATAAAAACCAAAATTATACCGGATTTCTATACTGTGTAATATCGATCCGAAACATCGACAATCTACGTTTTTTTTCCAGTTGTAACCTCGAATTAATTATAGTGTTAATTCTTGTTTAAAGGGCGGCAGTCGTCGCGCCGCGTCCTGTTCGATATGGGACTCATAGCGACGTATACAACGCGTGTAAAATACATTGTTTATATACATGAAATTCGAACACGCGCTGCGCGACGACCACCGCGCTTTAAATTCTAGTTTAAATGCATAATGTCTGCAACTGCGTAATTTATTCCTACTGATCGGAAATTGTTGTATTAGTTGAGCTTTTTGTTGTAAAGTTGAGAAACTTAAATGAATATGTTTTGTATATTTGCCATTGAAATATCAACAAATAAATCATAATAATAATATTAGAAATCACAAGAGACAACATGGCCTCGCCCATATATATACTGGTACCTACACAGATTGAATACTCGTGAGTTAACCCATTCCTACTCATCACATTTTCTTTGCCAAAATTGCATCGTGGACAATACCACTTCTTTTCACTTGTACGTCAACAAATCCATGCTTTTCCAGAAGCTGCGTTATTTCGTGGGCGCTTCTCTGCTTCCCTCCATCGAAAGTTGCCATCATCACCATGCAAAGAGCAGTTGTTGTGATGGGACCTGTTTTATCGTCATCATACAGAGCTTCTATGATAAGTATGGCACCTCCAGAATCCAATGCATTGTATGCCTTCGTTAAAATTCCCCCAATACGATCGTCAGACCAGTCATGTAATATATTACTTAAAACGAACAAATCGCTGTTCGGAAACGGGCCAGCAAAGAAATCGCAAGCTATGAATGTTACTCTTTCCGACTTCGGGTCGATTGGCGTGAAGTGACCTGCTAGTGCAATAACGTCAGGAATATCCAGTACCGCTAACGTCATCTTGGGGTATTTGGCGGCGAAGGCGTAAGCCAATGCACCGGTACAACCACCGACATCGCACGCATTTGTGTAATGCGACAAATCGAACAGAGTTACCAGTTCACGCATAAGCACGGTTATTGTTGAATGCATTTCTGCCATGAATGCTTTCATTTCATTGGGATCGCGATAAAGTTCGTCGAAGTAATTGCGGCTGCCATACACTCGCGGTATTTGTGATTTGCCTTCTCTCACTGCATGAGTCAAGTTGCCAACCAATTGGTAATCAATTCGACTGGCCCCATTAAAAATAGGAAGCATTGACAACGGGCTTGATGAAGTCAGATATTTCTTCGACACGGGCGTATTGCGGAATAGGCAATCTCCATCAACATTAGCCATATGTATTTTCTCCAACAGTCCCATTCCAACACACGCGTTGAGTATGCATTCTATACGGTCGGCGTCTGCCTCTACCATTTCTAACACTTGTTTGACACTCCTGGGTCCACCTTCCAGTATATCAAACAAGGTCAACTCAATAGCTGTAAAGCATACTTGGGTCTTCGTATAGGACATCAACAAATTGTACAAGTTGGATGCCATTTCAAGGTATATTCGCCTTTTCAGAGCTCAGAAAATACTGTTCTCAACACGGAACAGGTGGTTATAGTGTGGGTTTACTAATCTGCACCCGCTAAAATTAGAATATTACTAATTTAAAATGCGCTTTCCACGATTCGTGCTCTTCCATTCGTTTGAATTTTGACTACAAGCTTAATTACATAGGTTCGTTATTATTAAGATGGAAAGTTCTAATATTAAAAACACACATTTGTAATGGGAGTAATCTTCGTGGGTTCCTGGAGATTTTTATCTTGAATTCTCGAATAATTATTCAACAATTATCGTTTTGACCGATATGTGATGGCATTTTTTTTTTAATTGCGTTAAATTAAATCGAGTTCATTGGAATAATTTCATTATTCACCCGAGTAAATTATAACGTTCAAGTCAATAAGCTGCAGTGCATATATGGGTCTCGGTATTGGACGCCATTTCATGGTATAGTCGTATTACTAATCCGCGCCCGCTAAAATCAGAATATTACTAATTTAAAATGTGTTCAGCACGATTCCTGCTCTCTCATTCGTCTGAATTTTGACTACCAGCTTAATTACACACGTTTCGTTATTATTAAGATAGAAAGATCGAACGAGTATTAAAAATATGCCGCGTATGGGATCCTGGATATTTTTTTTTTTTTTTTGAAAACGTTGTCGGGAATCAAACACATTTAAATACATATACGTGCATATAAAGAAACTGTCGTTAAAAAGTACATAAATTACGTCTAATACAAATTTCGTAGTATTCACAATAATTTTAAGCTTCTCTTGGTTTTTTTTGAAGCATAACGCAAGTACACTGCTAGGTTTGTCTGATGTCATAAAAAGAACACAGTCGGTGAGATCTGGGTGTTTGAAATTGTAAGTCGGCTAAACTTTTGTTTCCGTCTTTGAGTAACGAAGTTGAAACCTCTGTTTAATTAATGATGATCAGACAAAGCAATGTTATTTACGTATATTTTTTCTCCTGACTGTTTCAATAAATTAATATGAGCTGATAATTGCTTTCCAGACCAAAAGTGAACATTGTATATTGTCTGAAACTAATTCATGTCCGCTGAGGACAATGACTATTCTGTGTATCAATGTACTAGTATTTACGGCGTTGTCTTAAAACATTCAGAAGTACAGTTGTAACAAGTGTCCCACACTTTGCCTCAACTTAAACCATGTTATCCGAGAACAAAACAATCAAAATCAGACCTGTTGTCTAAGATTGATACGAAACATCGAAATTCTCCGGGTTTTTTTTTCTCGGATAATTATTCAACAATTATCGCACGTTTTGATCGATATGCATTTTGTTTTGTTTTCTGTAAACATTGGGCATGCGTATAAATTAAATCGAGGTCACTGGATTTTTGTTATTGACCTAAGTAAATAATGAGCTTTATTCATCATCACGTGACCGCGTTGAAACCAATCAACGTAACGCTAACTTGAACACCAACGTCTTTGGCAGAAAACAACCCGGTTTCGCGGACCTGTAACAGCTTCTTTACAGCTGTAGCAACTATATCGATTTTTTTCTTCGATTTTTATTTTTAACAAAACAGTCCTATGTTGCCGCATACAGAACGTTTCATGGTGCTAAGACGCGCACCACTCTGCCATGTATTTCTATGGGCTGTGTGCGAGCTGCTGTATTACGCCGGTGAAGCTGAGCCAGATACTTAAAAGTCGAAGAAACAGAACAAATTCAACTTTAAAGTTTTCCTGAGCAACCAAATTTATATATGTTTCATATGTAGGGGTAATCTTGTATTTACTATTGAAGGGAGTACCGTTTTCTGGGAGTTTTCGGTCTTTATTTTCACCTTGATGATAGTCAGGCGATGAAAATACCCGGATGTCAGCCCGAGAGTATGAAGGATCGAGGAAATATTCACCGTTACGGTATTTATTTCCAGCAGATTTGATGTTCTAGGGATATTCAAAGGGCTTTAAATTCACTTGTTTGTGATTCATTGTGATTTATTATATTGTTAAAGTCGGAGAGTCGTCACCTGCGCACGCACGGTACTAGTAATTGAGCGATGATAACAACACATGCTGAGAACGCAAAGGCTCATGGGTAGACGCTTGTTTGTAAACAATGACATGTTATGGCCACCTGACGCATGCCTACTTTATTTATTTATTTTATTTATTTATTAACACACAACATCCACCGGAGTGAATGAAAAGAGTTACAAATCAGATATTAGTAAAAGAAAAATAACTACATGAAAAGTAAAGAAACAAAAAACATAAAGAAAAAAAAATGTTATACAAGGAATGTGTTACTGGCTTAGTTTATGAAGGTTTTTTAATATTGTGCTAAAGTATTTGACATTTTCTCATCACTTAGTAATGATATGGATTTATTTTCATTACTAAATTTGTCAAAACTTGGTATACATTTATTAGCTACAATGTAAATTTTCAACCTTATTTCATTGTAACGAGGACAATTTGTGACAAAATGTTGTTCATCTTCAATATGATCATTGTTGCACATATTGCAGATTCTGTCTTTAAAATCCAATCCCGTATGCCGACCTGTTTCAATTTTCAGACAGTGGTTGCCAAGTCTACATTTTGCGAAGTTCACTGTTTTTCATAATTGTTAAGTAGTTTTCTTGTTCTATTTTGGTTTTTAAAAGTTTGTAGGTTCTTAGTGTATTTTTAGAACTTGATTTACTTCCTGTTGTCATTATTAATTTCATTTTTCCACTCAGTTGTAAACTCTTCTTTTAATTTCTCATCAACTGTTTTTAATTTTGATAATGAGCGAGATAATATTTGTTTCGTTTAAAAGATAAGAATGGTTTATATATTTTAATATCAAATCAAATTTGTTTAAACCATTTACTTTTAATAATTTTATTTTTTACTTTATATTTACGTTGACTAAATTTATGCGTAGGTAACAGCTTTACATTTTCTGACTCGTTTCGCTTAAGTTTAGTGCATTTAACTATCAACTATTAGAAATGTACTAGTATATGCCCGGTTTATTCGGAATATTTACTGAAATGAACCGTGACAAAAGACATTAGACATTCTTTACTACTGTCTTTGATTGACCATACACCCAACAATGGCTACTTCCACATGCGACTGTATTGTAAAATAGATAATGGATGTAATATACGCTTCGTGAATAAGCAAAGACACTGAACATGTCTCATACTACAAAATACAACTCCATAGACGACATTGTTAGCGTTTTGATGAATTTCTCAAAAAGATGGGTTTACAAGGATCGAAATATTGTTTTAATTTGTTGAAACCACTTGTATGGAACATACATTCAGTCTTTCTACCTTCAATATTCTCAGAAGCGTAGCCAGTTTGAAAGAGTTGCCCGGACCTCAGACTACTACTAGTAATACTATAAGTTGTCTGAGCCCAGTCCCACAGGTCGCCGGCACACAAGGCTAACAGCTGACGTAATTGAAGTACGCCCTCATACGCGCGTTTCAGATAAAAATCGGTGAAATAAAACCTAAAACAGCAACAACGAACGCTGATAGGACAATTAGTGGCATAAGACCTAACAAACTAGTCTGAAATGATCATTAATCAGTTCTATCACACCCCGGGATCACAGCCTTACTTATTTACAATAGTATTTCAAGAAATGTATGTCGCGTGACTTCTTCAGTTCGCGTGAGATCTTCGTGAATTTATCTAGCGCCCTCTCTTTACGTCTTATGTCGTGCGTATTTATGTTCAGTTCGCTGTGTTGAAGTCTGGTGTACGTTGTTTTACAAGTTTCTAAATCGCTCTCACCAACAAAGCATATCCGACCATGGCTGCTAACATGTCTGTTGACAAGGTTGCCGAAGATCTACTGACGTGTTCTATTTGCTTGGAGCGTTACAGGAATCCGAAGATTTTACCGTGTCACCATTCTTTCTGCCTGCCCTGTTTGGTAAAGTTGAAGGGACCTCGTGACGCGATAAAATGTCCTAACTGCAGACAAGAACATTTCGTGAATAACGTTCGCCATGATTTCCCACCAAGTATGATAATCAATTCCGTCATGGACATTTTTAAGCAACCGGAACAACCGCAAGGTGATGGGACATGCCATGGTTGTCAAGAAAACCCATCAACAAACACGTGTGTAGACTGTGCCATGGATTTCTGTACAACGTGCACCAAAGCTCACAGAACAGCGCCTGTTAGTCGACAACATCGTATTATGACTGTTGATGATTTTAAAACGTCAAATTTGCGAGACAAGTCGATTGTTTTGCCCGCAGACCCATGCACTTCCCACCAGGATAAACTTATTGAGCTTTACTGTGAGGATTGCCAGACTTCAATCTGTCTTTCATGTCTGGGGTCAAATCACAAAGGTCACCAAGTGATAGATTTGAAAGGAGCGGCAGAGGAATTTTGTAAGATGGCAACTGAGAACCTTAAAGTAGTGAAAACCAAACTCTCTGAGGAAAAACGACGAATAAAAATAGTCACAAAAAAATTAGAGGAATTATCGAAACAACAGTTACAGCAAAAACGGCTGATACAGAAACATTCGCAGGAAACTATTAGAAAATTGACTAAAGTAATTAAACAGGAAGAAAGCAGTCTCTTGGATCAATTGAATACTGATTATAAAAAATTGGATTCAGTGAAAAAGGTACGTATGCTTGAATCAAATATGGAACAACTGACACTTTTAATAACATACATGGAAAAAATGTTGAGAGATCGCATAGCTACGCAGTTAATGTCCTACAAGGAAGAGGCAGTCCGTCGTATTGAATATGTGATATCACTTGATCTTGGATGGGAGTGTGACAATAATTCACTCCTATCTTTTCACCCCAATGACATCAAACTGCAAGGAACTCTGGGAACGTTTCACAACACTGAGGTAGAATCTGAGTCTCGTTCGGATCAGCACTCCCATGATGCATCACTTCGTGGAGCTTGTGCACCAATGAAACTAGAGCGAACTGTTGACGCTGAGAGTGGATCAATGAAACTACAGCAGACCATTGGTGGCAAAGGCACAAAACAGGGGAAGTTCTCTCTACCGCTTGGATTGTGCGTCAATGCACATGGTGATATTGCGGTGGCAGATCACGATAATGCAAGAGTACAGGTTATAGATGCCCGCAACGGCAGATCGAAGTTACAGTTTAAACTTGCAGGGTTCAGTAAACCGGCCAGGCCAATAGATATATCATCATCAGTAGATGGTAGATACTTCATTACAGATGGGTCATTTGAAAATAATGTGGGAAATAATCAGGTGATTGTGTGTAATGAATATGGAAAGGTTCTAAAATGTTTTGGTAAGAAACAGTTACAGAATCCGTGGGGAATTGCTGTCAACCATAGGACTGGTTGCGTACTTGTAGTTGATCGGGAGGCGCATTGCATAAGAACTTATCTGATGACAAATTACAGGTACATTAGCTCGATTTGTACGAGGGATGATATGATTTCATGTCGGTTGGAATATCCCATGTACCTTGCTATTGATAGTAGAGGGTGTTTAATAGTCTCGGTTGATGACCTGCAGATTCAGATTATAACACCTGATGGGAAGTTTGAATTTAGGTCATGTCCAATTGAGGGCGTTGATAGTGCCAAAGGAGTTGCCATGGATGCAGATGATAATATTTATGTCTGTGATGTTTGCGAGTCAAGGGTGCAGATGTACGACAAACATGGTGAGTTTATCAGCACTGTAGCCAGTTTTGCCGATGGGGTATACCGCCCCATGGGTGTAACTGTTGACGCTGATGGTAAAGTTTTAGTAACAGATGGTATGCATAGTGTTAAAGTGTTTTCAAGGTGAAATTCACTGTTTCTATTTTGATTGCTGCCACATGTTTTTAATTGATTCGTAAGATTGATCGGATGGTTGGCAGCTGTTTAGTGTTTTTCCCACCTTGTGAAAATCATGTATAACTGGTATCTAAGTTTTGACTTGGTACATACAGTCATTAATTAAAGTGGGAGGGTCGTCACCTGCGCATGCGTCAGATGAGCATAACATGTCATTGTTTACAAAGAAGCGTCTATCATGAACCTTTGCATTTTTAGCGTGTGTTGTCGTCACTCGGGACTCATGA